AGGCTGAGGAGTCTCCACTCCATACTTTGTGAATTTGAGACGGCAGCGTTGCCAATATTCCCAATCACTAAGCCCAGTATACGCAAATATATTAAATGAAAACACTTAACCACTTATAGTAATATGATTTTAAAAATATTGCCCCGACTTTCTTCATTCTTGTCCCAGTGTAGCACCCACACAATGGGTAGAATTGTTCTGCATTTGTTTCCAGCAAAGCAAGGACATTGAATGACATACTTGTACTGTAGGTTTCAGTAAAAAAATTTTTTTCTGGTGCCTCCAGATGCCAAAACGGTTAATCATAGTGAACTGTTGGGAATTACAAGTTTAGGACAAAATTGTCAAAATATAAGAATTCCCCATGTTTTAAGGACATCTGTTTAGGTCTAAATGTGAAATTCACTTTAATTTAATTAATTCAACTCTGACAACAAATGCATTTTAAATAATACTAGGCATTATATGTGTTCTGAAAAATATGTTCGTTTTCTAGGCCTATTGTGCCTAATTCTACATATGCAGTAAGTTTCCTGTTATGTTACTGTGTTTAAAGGGACAGTGTAAACACCATAGATACTTCAGGTTTAAATAGTTTTTGAATGGCTTACAACTTAATGAGGGCCCCTGGGTGCCCCCAAGTCGCCCCATAGGTATGCAAAGCTGTAGTATAACTCCACATTAGCCCTACCAACTATAGTAGGGAAGAGTGGCAGTGTTAGACTGACTTTGCTCAGCTGACACTCTCAGCCTATCTTTTTCACTTATTGGCTATCTAGATAAAGCATAATAATTAGCAAAAAAAAAACAGCAGAGAGAGGCCAGAATGTAGGCTTTTGGGGTCCTTATTAAATGGGGAAACCTTTCAAAAATGGTGGGACAGTGCAAGTAGACTCTATAGAACCATAATGAGATTGAGTAATTATGGTGCCTAGATTGTCCTTTTGAATATCCTGTGCTGTTTCACAGTGATTGGCTACCTGTCAGGGGGGAGGAGTTAGGACTGCTTGAAATTTCAGTGCAGCATTCAGGTATTGATCTGCTCACACTGACCTCTAGTTACTCTCAAATAATACAACGCCACTCTGTGTTCTGAGTGAACATCTTTCTAGGTGAGTGTGGAATACTTATACGTAAGTGGTTCTTTGTTCCTGTTTGTTACCAGATACCCTGGTTAAAAATGCCACAAGGTAAATAAAAAGTGATGTAGATTTCAGAGTGCTAAATGTCGTTTTGTAAATATTAATCTCCTCCAGTGCAATACGTTATTTCATGGAGAGGTTATGTGATTGCTGACACGCCTATAGGTTTTGTTTTTTTGTTTGTTTTTGTTGTTTTTGTCTTTTAGAAAAACATGTAACTGTAGTGAGTCAAAATACAAATGGCAACATTTAGGCTGAATTGGTGAATTCACAAAAAAGTCAACCCACCAATAGTCAGACTGGCTATTTGAATCTCAGTCTTCCAATTTGAACTTTGCTTGAGATTAGTGTATTATCACAGGGTTATTCAATCAAGTGTGGATAGTCAGATATTCATAATGAACTATTAAACTCAACATACACTATGAATCCCTAACTCCTTATACGTTTTCAATAGGCCTGACTCTTACTAGTTTGGTAATCAGACAGCCATATAACGTTACTAGTGTCTCAATGTCATAATCTTATTAATCAAAGTTGTGTGGTTTGGAGTTCCATCTTCCTTAACTAAATTGACTTCATTCCTACAGTTTAATGTTTTAATTACTGTAGGACAGCACTGTCCAGGAATCATCCCTTGCTGGGGTTTTTTTTTTTTTCTTTAAAGCTTGACACTTTAACCTGTAGCAGGTCTACAAAAACACACCTTATGCCTAAATTGTGACTTATGGAAAACTTGTCTTATGAAATTTCACACTGTTGTATGGCCAGAAGATCTCTCTGAAATAAGACCTGCAAAAGGTTTCCAATATGGCTATTTTTACTTATCTTGCAGCATTTCACACTTTAGTGCATAACCCTATCTAATCTGTGGTGTTGGCTGCACACTGCCCCCCTTAAAGACATAACTTTTCTTATTTGTGTCTTACTGATGAAATGTCAGGGGACCTTGTGTGAATGTATGGGTTTTTGTCACTAAATTCTGAAATGTGACTGTCAGCCAAAAAAAATTCTGACTTGGACAATTCCCCCAGCTTGGGTCTAGTCACCGCTTGGCTATTTTGGTCTGGAATTTGCACTGGTTTTCAGTTAACCACAACTTGCTATTTAGTGAATAAACCTCAATGTTTCTCAGTCTCCCAGAAACATGCACATTTTATTTGTCAGGTTTTCAGATTGTATCAAAGTCTAAACAAGACACAAAATGGTTTAATATGTCAATCTTATTCTCAAATGGTTTAAAAATAAATCTAGGCTGTAGAGTGTATGCAGAGTGTGCTTGTTAAAGGGGCACTATAACCACTAGTGCTCACTGGAGTGCTTATTCTTAGACTCTGTGAGCCCAGCTTCAGTTTTTAGTCAAACTTAAAAGCAGTTTCATTTATAAAAAAACAAACTTATGTCACCGTGTCTTCTACAGAATTTGTTTTGATTTAGAAACAGAATTTCATACCAACTTGGACTGCAGTGATCGTACATGCAGAGCTAGGAGTGTTACAGCCGTTGAGGGTCTTTTTTTGTCTATTCCAGCTTTTTAGTGGGAGCCACAAATATTACTTCCACCAAAGCCCTCTCCATTAGTTCTACCTCTGAGTAGACATTCCCCTAGAACTTCTTGCAGTTAAGACCTGATCCTGTCTCTTGTACACTACAGACAGTATAATGTGGCTGTCTGGTGGAAAGATTGAGACTGATCCGTTTCCAAATAAACACCGAATGGCATAATACTGTTGGCTGTCACTGCAATAAAGTACATGAATATAGCACTTTACATTTTCAGTTTATACAAATTGAAATTTGCCAAACTGGCTTTGAGAGCGTATGGTAGCCCAGGAATGAGAATTACCTCATGATGGCATACCATTTGCAAAATTAGACAATCCAAGGTACTACAGATGGGATATTGTCCAGTCCTCTATTTTTTTTTTTTTTTTCCAGCCACTTGGTAACACACACTGGTCAAAGTTAAAGGACCACTATAGTGACACAGACCACTTCAGTTCAATGAAGTGGTCTGGGTGCCAGGTCCCCAAGGTTTTAACCCTGCAGAGAAACTGCCATGTTTACATTGCAGGGTAAATCCAGCCTCTAGTGGCTGTCTTCCTGACAGCCGCTAGAGGTGCTTCCGCGACACTCAATGCAAACATCGCATTGAGTAATGCTTTCCTATGGGCAGTTTGCATGCATGCGGCTCCGGACGCGCATTTGGCTCCACTCGGGCGCTGACCTCGGAGGGGGAGGAGAGGTCACTGGCACTGGTTAAGATAAGTGGCTGAAGGAGTTTTAGCCCCTTCAGCCTACAGTGGGGGGAACTAAGGGTTATATAGTGTCAGGAAAACGAGTTTGGTTTCCTGGCACTATAGTGGCCCTTTCACATTCATATTTGTGTGTGGGGAAAAATGCATCCGAAGTGGGACTGCCGGAGCTCCCAGGCAGACCCCAGGATCACAACCGCCGGTGTGGGATTGGCGGGAACCTTTGTAAGTATTGACAGCGGGATGTTCTAGGACGCCCTGTGGTGTTTAGGACCGCCCCAATAAGGATGGCATAGAATGCCTGCTGTCCTTAGATTAACAGCTGTTAGAGGAAACTGCACGTGGAGATATTTGGTTACCTGTTATGGGGGGGAAACAATAATAAATTGCTCCATTATTGCCCTGAAAACTCGACGTAAAAGGGTCTGCGGCACTTTGATAAATCTTCCTCAGTGTCTCGAGAAATGTTTGCAACTATGTTGGCAACTTGTTTAGCTTCCTGGAGTCTCTTTAAATTTTAGGGGTGTTAGTGTGTCAGCTGTTTGGAGATATTTTACGTAACTTAGCAACAATTTATGCAATTAAAATGTAACTTAAAAAAGGAACAGTATCTTATTTTATTTATTTTTTTCACACTGTCTTAACACAACTATTGTAGTTTAGACATAAACTACATGTACCTCGTATAACGTTTGCTGCCTCTGTGGCAAGCTATCCTCATTACTAAATGGGTCTGGTGTTGAATCTTCAGTTATGTGTTCAGCTTGTGGGCATTTTACAGGCATCCAGCCTTTACTTTGCATTCACATACACTACAAGTTCTTAAAGGGTGGCAGTGTATCCCTCCCCTATTTTGGACAATTCCTCTCACTCTTTTCTACCACTATATCCTATTTTCTAGGAACTATTATTGGTGTGTAACAGAGCTCTACAGAAATAATATTCACAGTAATGTCTAAACTACAATAATTGTGTAAAGACATCAGTCTGTGGAAAAAAAATACTGTTCCTTTTTTAAAATTACATTTTAATTGCATAAATTGTTGGTAAGTAACCTAAAATATCTCCAAACAGCTGACACACTAACACCCCTAAAATTTAAAGGGACACTCCAGGCAGCTAAAAAAGCTAAGCTTAAATTAAAGCTAATAAACTCAAAATACCCGTGGTTTGTTTCTCTTTTTCAATTCTGTGTAGTTTTCAGCAGTGTAACTCAGCCCCACCCCCTCTCACATTTGAACCTGTTCCTGACTGCAAATAGGGATGTCTAATCTAGTGGTGTGAATGCTCACAGCACAGATTGCACTGCAGCTAGAGCCCACATGTGCTCCCCTCCCTCCCTGTAACACATTGTCCTCCAGTTCCTGTCAGCCACCCTCCCTACCCAGGGTTAACTCCTGGCTAGCCCCTGTAAATCAGCTATCTGACAGACCACACCACACAGCTCTGTAGGTATTTCTTATAACTACAAACACATGACACTATACCTAACATGGTGAGGAAGTGTGTGATGTTTGTAAGTTCTAATCGTGTCTGAATGCTGAAGGGGTGTGGGCAAGCATTGTGGGCATGTGTTGAGCGGAGTGTAACTTGGACACACCCAGTAAGGTGTGTCATTACTGATTCTGATAGAGAATCACTGGATCATGGCCATTGGACAGTCTGGCAGAAATCCAGGAAGCAGGGAGATGTGATATGAAGTCAGGAGGGGCAGAGAATCTGATCATAGTAAAGATTAAAACAGGTACTTCTAAAGCTCATTTTTACACTATTTAGAGAAGGGCATTTAGTGAAACTTGGCCGGTGTTCCCTACAGAAGTGTCAGGAATGCAAGTGTATTCCTTACACTATAGTTTTAAAACCACTGTTTAGGTGGTTGACCCCCCTCCCCCTTACCTCAGGTTAGAAAGGAGACTTCCAGATCTGCATGGGGCTCCTTGTGTCTGGCCCTGCCCATAATCCATGTGCTTGGCTGACATTATCAGAATTAATTATCTCAGCCAATCACAATGCTTTAGCATTGGATTGGCTGGCTGAGACAGTCTATTCTGACTTTAGCTAAGGCAGTGGGGGTGGAGCCAAGCACAGCCCTGGCCAATAATCTCCTCATAGAGATGCATTGAATCCAGCATCTCTGATGGAACCTCAGCATCTCCATGCAAAGGGTGGAGACAATTCACGTCAGTGCAGCACACTCTAGCCCTATGTGGTTCCTATCTAGACCTCTGCCATTAGCATATGGAATCCCTCAGCTCTGTCTGCTTCTGGTATTGACAGCTTCCCCAGCGTGCACAGTGCAGGGCTTCATGCTGCAGTTACAAACTGTAACTTGTTTGATATTCTATATTAGTGTAACTTATTTTTCTTCCTCTCCTCACTTCTTGATCACAGGTAGCTAATGGCATGGGGATATTTTGCAGAATCCTGCATGGATAACTCTTCAATGTTTGATCAGGTTGCATGGTCTGCAGAGAGACCTTACCAGGGGTACTTTCTGATCACACTTGTCTCCTCTCCCTTCATCCCCTACCCTAACACCAGTTGAGTGATTTCACCTTTTTCTCTATGACCTAACCTGGCAGCAACTTTTTATCTATTTTTCTCTATTCTACCCGTGTATGTTTTCATTCCCAGGCATTATGAGTTCAGATCCACGTTATGGGGATGTCTGTCGTATTCCGACTACAGGAGCCTCTATGGTCACTGCCCAACAAGACAAGCTGACATTTGGTGGTGAGTGGTGTGTGTGGGTTTTTTTTCTCTCTCCCATCCCTTCCCCCACCATTGAAATTGGAAACTTGCATTAAATGCTCATAAGACATTGTGGGGCCAGCTCTTTTAATCTGGTCTCTCATTCACTATAATATGTCCTGCTCAGGGAGGTAGGGGAACTTTTCAGTTGTGCATTTCGTGCTAGATTTCTCGATTCTTTCTTTTTCTGTATGTAGGACGATGGAATGTTCAATTTACTTCTTAAAGGAGCTCTGATTAGAAATGGGAGGGTAATGCTGCATGATGTCCACCATGTATAGATAAAAATATAATCTAGTATAAACTGCAGTTCTGATGATTGCAGCCTTTGCAAGCCCCCCTTTACTGGAAGACATTCGGTCTCGTCACAGTGAAATAACAATCACTCTTCATTGAGAAATTCTCATAGAAAACCCCCTTTTTTAAACTGGCTCTAAAATAGGATACCTCACCCATAAAGCAATTCAGTAAACTGAACCAAAACCCTAGCCCCTTTAACTTGTAGAAACATGGCTGTAATTCCCCACTCCTGTCCACGCAGGCCCTGAAACAAGACACCAATCTTCAATTTGATTATGCCTAGTTGAACTAGATGACTTAAGAGAACCTAAGATTCCAATATTGCAATATTGGTCCCTCATTTGAAAAACCTGTTTGGATCAGAGAGACCTCATACTACAATGTCAATAGCCCACGGACTTTGTTTGGGTCTGAGTAATCTGACGTGAAAAATTTTCCGTGCATGTGATAAAGTTCTGACGGGAAACATTAACCATTAAATGGGAACTATAGTGCCAGGAAAACCAACTTGAGGGGTTAACCCTAGCAAGTAATTATTGCAGTTTATAAAAACTGCAATAATTACATGCTCGGGGTTAAGGCTGATGGAAGTTTGCGCCCAGACCACTTCAATGAGCTGAAGTGGTTTGGGTGTCTACAGTGTCCCTTATGGTGCACTGAAACTACATACACCTACCCCTCCCAACCCACCTTCTTTAAAGAAAAAAACTATTTAAAATATCGCACAGAAGGTTTAAATTATATATTTTTTTTTATTTTTTTTCTCTATATAGGTGTTACAGCATCTGAGTATTTGGCTCATGCAGACTTAGAAACTATTAACACATTAAAAACTAAAATTGACTCTGTGGCTAGCAAAAAAGAAATGGATGCAGCTGTCATTGCCGCAGTAATATCACGTGAAACTCGTGGTGGAAGAACTCTGGAGAATGGATGGGGTAACAATGGCACTGCTTGGGGGGTGATGCAGGTAAGTGGGTTTTTTTTTTTTTTTGTTTGTTGTGTTTTTTTTTTTTTTTTTTTTTTTTTTTTTTTTTTTTTTTTTTTTTTTTTTTTTTTTTATGAATTGTCTGGGTCAAACTAAGAGGTTCTATTTGAACGTAGATAATACAAAAAGGTAACCGATGGAATATTCAACAGACTTTGTGTAGCTAAACTAGAGTCCAGATGTAATATTGAAGCAAGAAACTAGATGTTCCTAGATTTTCTCTAGGACACAATTACAAGAGTCATTGGGTAAAACACTGGATCCCTCAGTAAATCTAGACTGTGCTGGATAGGGATATCTGCAACTACTTGACAGCAACGTGATTATTTTAGTGATTAATCTAACAAATCCACAGTATTGCAGCAGAACATTCTGACACAAAAGTAGATTTAACTTTATACTGTGTCTACTGTTTATATAAGAAGTCTTGTTTTATTTCTAGGTTGATAAAAGATGGAATACTCCTCGAGGAGAGTGTGACAGTGAAGAGCATATTGCTCAAGCAACAAATCTCATAATTGAAAAGTTTAATTCCATGAAGAGGAAATTTCCAATGTGGTCTAAAGATCAAATTCTAAAAGGTAAAGATTGCAGACAAACTGTGTGTCTGTCCAAGGGTAGGCAACCCACAATTTTTTTTTTTTTTTTTTTTTTATTTTTTTTTTACAATCTGATAACAGAAGTTTTCAATTTTCTTATTAATATGGTCTAGTTTCTCCTAGGGGGTGTCTGGGCACTGAAAGAAGCAAGAGACAGGTTTGATACAAAATAAGTAAACTGTCTAAAGTAGCTTTGCTAGTTTGAGGATAACAATTCAGTATTTTGAATCCACCACTTCTGATTATCACAGCAATGGCTGCTGGGTGAAACACACCAGCTGCATACTTTGCATCCCTGAACTAGGGGGGGTCTTCACATCTGATCCTGCTATATGATAACTTTTGATACGTCCAGCTTCCTTGCTTCAGGAGTTCTTACTAGTGGACTTGCAAGTGGGCGTCCTAAGGTCTGCAGAAATCTGGGCATCAGGCAATTTTTAAAAAATGTTCTCCTTTCCCTGGCAGTCATTGGGTCTGTGCCGGCTGTCAAATATGTGGGGACTAGTTGTTCCTTAAAGGGACACTTTAGGCACTCGGCCCATTAAAGTGGTCTGGGTGCCAACACAATCACCCTTAACCAAGAGCATGTAACTATTGCAGTTTTTATTTTTATTTTATAAACTGCAATAATTACCTTGCAGGGTTAATGCCTCTAGTGGCTGTCTACCAGACTTTTGGTCATCTAAACTAACTCACGCTATGAATGAGGACCTCCTGCGTTGCCGGAATCCCCACAGAAAAGTATTGAATAATGCTTTCCTATAGGAAGATCCTAATGCGAGCGTGGTCATTGCTGCACATGCGCATTAGGTCTGTGGCGGGGGAGGAGCACGGGCTGAGCCAGTACTGAGGGACATCAGAGCTGGACCCAGGTTAGTGACTGGGTTATTAACACCTTCACCACTGTGTGAGGGGTACTTGACAGAAGGGGAAGCTACAGTGCCAGGAAATTTTTTTTTTTTTTTTTTTTTAAACTTAGATTAGCAGAGGGATCAACCAACATATGCACTTTTCCTGCTACCCCATATTTATGCTTGTATTAAAAGCTGGATACCATTGCTGTCTAACTCTTTATTTTACTCCTAAAACTAGGGCTACAGCACAAATATATATTAAGGAATTCATTTGTTACTATGTTAACGTTTGAACGGTGATCCCGTGAACTCTAGTGTGTGTGTGTGTGTGTGTGTGTGTTTAAATTTTTTTTTATTTTTTTTTCTTCCTAATTCCCCCTGGGGAAAAACTAGCCAATGTAAATAAAATAATTTTAATTCAAATCAATTATTGAAAAATAATCATTTTTGGAGAGAAACCTTTGCAGCCTTATATTACATGTATCTCTGGTTTTGAAACTATATATTCATTTTTTTTTATTTTTATTTTTTTTCTCTTGTCACTCAAACTTTTTTTTTTCTTTTTGTCTTCCACACTCAAATTGGTAGTGGACTCACTCCTATGTATAGTAATCATACATTTTGTATAGAACCCCTGTAGCAGGGATAGGTAACCTTCTGCACTGCAGATGTTTTGGACTATTGTTAAAGGGGAGGGGGACAGGGGGGGGACTTGAATGTGTAGATTTGGTTATGGGTTCCATTAATGGAGTTTGTTTTGTGTTTTTTTTTAGGTGCTCTAGCAGCATACAATATGGGTGATCAAAGCGTCAAGAGCTTTGAAGAAGTGGATCGACTCACCACAGGACAAGACTATGCTAATGATGTTGTGGCACGTGCACAATATTTCAAGAGGAATGGATACTAATGCATTCCAACTGGTGTCCCAAAAATTATCTAGCGCCCCAGAAACTATTACAAAAAAATCTTATAATAAACTTACACTAAAACATGGCACCATTTTATGATTTACTGGAAAGAACACAATCCATAAAGCCTATTCCCATAGTGTTTGATTTAATATTGTTGGGTACACTCTTAAAATTATGAAAAACCTAAATTTGTATTTTCATATTAAAGAGAAAATAAAAAAAAAATCAATGTTAAATATGTATTTGGAAAGTATCAAACAATATTAAGGTAATGTCAAAAGTTGGCCTGGAAAAATGAATGTACTCCCCTTTTCCATCCTCTCCCCCATAGGAACAAACTAGCCAGTTTTAGAAATTGGAAATATGCATAACTTAAGTTTCTATTTTGCATTAATATTGTGTTCGGAGTGTGGAATTTCAGGTTTTTTTTTTTTTTATTTTTATTTTTTTTATTTTTTTTTTTTCCTTCCCCAATCAATTTAACTTTAGAGAGCTTGTTCTGAGGTGCTGAATGAACCGGTGTGTACCAGGAAACTCTTGATAACCAGAATCTCACCTGCTACAATTATAGCATTTTTCCAGGTCACCTGCTGAATAGGTAGTATTTCTTTTGGTCAAATTTGCATAAACTGGGATTATGCTCTGATCACTGGCACACTTCTTTGATTTTGTTAATGAGCTACAAAAACAAATGAAAAACTAATAACTCTAACTTTACTCCCAGCCACTATATTTGCCTGAACTTCTTTGAGTTCATACCTGCCTCATTTTTGTTTGGTCTTGTATTTTTGTTTTATCCATGTATTCATTGAATTACCTGTTGAAATACAAATGATCCAATTGAGGCCATGTCCATTTATTTTTGTGAGGAGTAAATGGGTGTGTGGGGTTTTTTTGTAAATTTTTTTTTTTTTTTTTTAAATTTTATTTATGGTGTCTGGGGGAGAGGAAAGGACTAAGCTAGTCCTAAAACAATTTAAATTTTTCAGTTACAAACAGAATTATTCACTAAAGTTGAAATGGTTCATACTGAATAGGATGGAATTCATCTGTCTGGATTTTGTGTATCTCAATATAAATCCATGCTTGTATTAAGAGATAATCTGAATGCTTTGACATCGCTAGCAGCCAAATATAAAGAATTAAAATCAGTGTGTTTTAATTATGTGGTAACTGGCCTGCACTTGCTAGTCCCTGCCACACTAAACAAGCTTTTAGTGGTGGATTATTTGTGTTATCAGATATCTCCTTTCTTATTGGCCTCAAAAAGCCAAATTAAAATCCATAATTGATTCCTTTTTAATTTAAAACCAAATTAATATTTCTTGCCAAAGAATGAGCTCTGATGGCAAGAAAAATCTTAGCTTTTTCACTGCTTTGGACTATGACCAATAGCACTCGACACCCAAGTCTCAAACTGAGTCATTAGGTTACCATTACACAGGTGTGGGCAGGAGGAGACACTTGCCTCTCTTTCCCCTACCCCCCAACATGAAAGATGGTAGAGGAAGATAAAGTGTGCTTACTGAATCAAACTAAAACATGAAACTGGAGTTTAGTTTCATCCACTAAACCCAATCGTAGTCTTGAAATATTGCCCATAATACAAGCAGTCAAGAAATGCCTTCTTTGAAGACCATAGAAAGGGGATTATTTTTCCTTTGATATTGGCCAAATATTGAAAAGTTTCTTATTCAGAAATATCACTATTTGAACAGTTTGTAAGGAAAAGCAGGTAATGTACAGATGTTTAGATAGGATTGATAATTGGAATAGGCTACTAGATGAGTTAAACTTCAAGTTATGCTATACATTGAGTAACAGGGTGGTATCAATAAGAGTAGGTAAACATGCATAGAAGTGATGCTGCATTTCAAGAGAGACATACTAAGAAAAATCACTACCACACCACTTGCAGACATGCTATGGTGCTTCACAAAATTAAACTATAGGTAAGCTCACTGGTTTAAAACTTCACTGATTGAGGTGTAATGGAAAGGTAAACCCAAATCAAATTACAGAAACATGGGCTTATGAATGCAAGATAATCTGCGATTAGCCCCAGTAGATGATTGTGGAGTCGGCCAATGCCCTGGTTTGGGAACCAGCAGAGGCAGCTGAGAGGTGCTGCGAGGCTTGGTCTCACTCCAGCCGCAGGCCATTTTGAGGGCCAGCATCATGGAACCACGGGCTCAGATACTTTGATCTGAGTCAAAGTTCTTCCCTTTTAGGGATTGGGGGAAGCTCCTGATATGTAGCCACCTGCAGTGTGGGTTCTTCGGTTTCAGTGGTTGATGCAATGGGGGTACATTCCATGAGGCTCTCAGCCTAGGTAGGCCACAGTTGCATTTTTGGAGGTAGTGCCTGGAGTGGAGCCTCCATGCCCTTCTCCCTGCTGGCTTTCAGGCTCAAACCAGCTTTGCCACAAGACGAGCTTCTAACTTTGCCCAGAAACAGTACAAGATCCAACTGCTGCATCAAGTGCTCAATCGTGCCTTGCCGGTTCAGTTACTGAATATTAAACTAAACATACTCATTCACAACCATATGCATAAGGAGCTTACACTGTCCTATGCATAGAGAACCTTAAGGACTGTTCGAAGTAGGACATACATAGGTTATGTGTAATAAGTATAATACTTTATCATTTGTATATGAAAAGACAGTGTACAGTGGCATGAATTATTTAAATGTTTGTCAACCTGTGTGATAATATAAAAGTGACTTTTAATCTATCTAGTCTAATGAATAAACTGAATACATATTGTTATGCATAGTAAAACATAAACTACATAACGGGCAATAGTGAAATTCTCGTGAGACCTGTGAAATTACTCTATTCTTATTGAAAAAAAAAAATAGGTTATACATTTTAAATAAAAACTAATAAGTGTCCTGATAAAGTGCCAATTGGAATATAGTGATTGTAAATAATGCTATGTACATCCTAGGTAATAGTTTAGCAAAGCTTTGAAGTGTAGAATTACATAAATGTAACAATCATACAGAGGCATAATAAAATACTCTGTTCATATCAAGTGTGCCTTTAGGGTCAGCTGGGTGTGTCAAATTATGATAAAAATGTACACACGTAATAAAGATTTGTATGTCTATCAGGGCCTGGGGCTTTAGTTGCTGGGAGTTCTTTTATTACTATGAGTATTTTTTTCTTCTATTTGAGAGACTAATGATGCAGTTTCTATTTAATTAATTTGGGACAAATTTCACCTTTTTAAAAAAAAAATATATATATATATATATATATATATATAATTTTCATTTTCCGTTGGCTGATGAACCAAAATCTTTTTCCTAAATTATATAATTTATGTTGCAAATGCATGGAGAATAGGTGTGGGGTTAAAGATTCCCCCACCCCACCATCTGAAAGAGTTATACAGGGTATATTAGTCTTGGCCTCACACTTTTTAAGGTGTCTTGATAAAAGTTTATATTCCTTATCACCTTGTGGATATAAGGTTTGTTTTGTCTTTCTTAACGATTATTTGTGTCTGATATAACTGTATTTCATTTAACTTATCTCTTATTTAATTTGCCTGCTTTTTGTTTAAGAATTTTTTATAAAATTCTCTCCAACTGATGTCCTGTTAATTGAACTACGTTTTTGTTCTCTGTATTTTTTCAGGGAAGCTGAGAGTGATGTAAAGTGACCCTGGCCTGCAGCTTTTTGACCTACCCATATATATTCAGTCTGAATGTCTGAAGTCTTATTCATCTGGATATAGTCCACCATTTTGTCTGTAATAAACTCTCTTAAAAGGATTTTTGTGCCAACAGGATGTAATTTAGTCTCTGCCTACGTGGGTGTTGTTCCAATAACACAGGTGCATCATGGTCTATAGTTGTAATATCTTTTATTATACACACTTTCATCTTCTGTAATGTTATTTTATCCAACATCAAATAATGTGAACTAGAATATTTTTTTTTTTTTTTTGTGGGCTTGTGAATTAATTGTAAAATTATTTGTATTAGTGTAGATTGATCGCCATCACCCAATAGCTAATTTTCCAACAATTTCCTACTCTGCGTCCTAAGGAAAGTCTTATATTTTCCCGATGCTATGTTAGTGCTATCCATTTCTGGATCTGAGATAACATTAAGATCTCCACATACAATAAGTAAACCTTCAATATAAGATTCTAATTTATTTAGAGTGCTTCTGCTATATTAGGCAGAATTAGATTTGGGAGCATATATATTGATTACTGTGTACATGATATTAATCGTAAGTACCACAAATAAATATCGACCTCTTTTTTTTTTTTTATATATATATACATTTAACATTAAGTACAAATAAATGATATAGTTGTTGGAGCAGTCGCATGAAGCATTATTTGAAACTGCCATACTGAAAAGTTTGGTATTATTTTTACTGTAGTGGAATTAGTTTCTTGTGTTCACAATACATCGGCAGCTGCCTTGCGTGCTTCCTCCAGCAACATCCTCCTCTTATGTGGACTCATGGATGTATTTACTACAAGGCAAACCAGGCATTTGCCTAGGGCTGCACTTTCACGGGGGCGCCAAAAAAATACCACCCCAAGCTCCCAGACAAATGCCTTGTTTGCCTCATGTTCTGGGGCTGTCCACCTTACTGTCAGTGTGTGTGTATGTCATTTTATGTTTATCTGAGAGTGTGTGTGTGTGGGGGGGGGATTTAGTCGTGCCTAGGGCAGCACAAATCCAAAATACACCACTGATGTGGAGTATTAAAGCACTTTGCATTAATTGTCATTATTTTTAGGGTCATTTCCTATTCCTTTCTTTCTGTTTTTGTCCCATTCCCTTCCTCCTCCATTATCTCCTTCCTTTTCTCCTGGTCTGTATCCATAATGATTCTCCTCTTCCCTACTTCCTTAGCCTCATCCCTGTTGATTTCCACTCTTAGAATTCACCTGCTCTTCATCACAATCCTCTTTTCCATATTTTAAGAACAAAATTTTTAAAAAGTACAAAAAATAGGTATTCCTTTGTGGAAACCCATGTATTTGTAAAAAATAAAATAAATTAAAAAGTAACAAAAAGTTCCACACAAAGTTGTGGATTCTGCAGAGGTTTGTCCTTAAAGGGAAACTCCAGTGCCAGGAAAACAATCAGTTTTCCTGGCACTGCAGGTTCCCTCTCCCTCCCACCCCCCAATCCCTGGTTGCCAAAGGGGTGAAAACCCCTTAAGTAACTTAGCAGAGGCACCGATGATGTCCCACGTCGCTGGTTCTCCCTCTGCGCCGCTCTTCCTTCTGACTGCGTCGGCCAGTGGGTGAGACTGATCCCACCTACCAGCCGAGGAGACCTAATGCGCATGCGCGGCAATGCCGCACATGCGCATTAGCGCTCCCCATAGGAAAGTATTGAAAATGCATTTCAATGCTTTCCTATGGGGAAATGAGCGACCCTGGAGGTCCTCACACAGCGTGAGGTCGTCTGGCGACGCTCTAGCACAGGTTTCCTGTGCTAGGAACCAGGAAGTGTCTAATAGACAGCCACTAGAGGTAGAGTTAACCCTGCAAGGTAATTATTGCAGTTTATAAAAAAAACTGCACTAATTACACTTGCAGCGTTAAGAGTAGTGGGAGTTGGCACCCAGACCACTCCAATGGGCAGAAGTGGTCTGAGTGCCTGGAGTGTCCCTTTAAGGAGAAAACTTCAAAAACAGTTATTGTAAAGGACATTTACCTCAGAACCATATGAGTACAAAACTGCAAGTTTTTTATTTAACAGTAATCTAAACTAAAAGGCAAGCTCAGTACCTTCCATGGAAGAAAGTTAAGAGAAAAGAAATACATTCTTCTCTTTTTCATTTCCTTCCATATTGAATTGGATTGGTAACTATAAAGTGTGCAGGTCATACAGATTTATAGTTTTGTAAAAAACAAATCATATATATATATATATATATATTGCCCAAATCACCCCCCTCATCAGTGTTCTGTACAATGGCATGAGCACTTCTCTCTTTCTACTGCTAATACCTCTCCCTATACAACCAAGCATTCTGCTAGCATTTCCTGAAATTCAGTGAGTGCAACTTTATTGCAGTGTGTACTTTCTGACCTTACTGTAACTAAACCCCCCATTACTTCTGCTTAAGTCAGATGTTATAAATTAGATTATAGTCGAGTGAGTGCAATGGATTCTATGTTAAGGAGGTGGACATATCACTGACTTTAAGCAATAACAGGAAGTAGCCATCTGATGAGCAGAGACTATAGGTTGGGCAGGAGGGAGGAAAAAAAAAGAAGAAAAAAAAAGGAAGGAGCCTGCAAATACAGGCAGTAACTAACAATTCTGTGAGCCAATCAGGATCCTAGGAGAGTTAGCAGTGCACATACCTGTTACTCTATGTTGTCCACACAGTTTTATGGAAGGCCTACCAAAAGTCCTGATTTCTGGGTCCTGCCCTGCTATCCATATTAGATCCCCGATATCCCACATCTTGGCACACCATGAAACTGTCCTCCGACAGCACAGAGTGAGCACATCTTTAGACATGCATGCACTGTGTACAATAGTACCCTGCAGAGAGGACTTCAGCATCAGGAGAGGCTCTTGCAGGTTGGGGGCCAGCTAAACCGAATAAACACTGAAGTTTCTTGGCGTTCCTAGTTGCCGTTAACTCTTTCTCCAGACAGCCATCTAACAGAGCTCTGACTGCAAAACATTAAACATTACAAACTCTGGTAAAGCACACAGGTGACAAGCCACAGACTGCACAGCGTAGGGTGTACCGGATAGTTTTATCTTGGAATACAGGACAAAACAAGAATACATACTGGCATCACTCCACAGAGCTCAGGTGCTACTGATTGCGGTGTGCAACACAACTTGATTGGTAAAACACAGTTATTTGCACCACAGTCCTTTCTTAGCAGGCATGACACATCATGATTGGCTTATCATACTGAATAATGTTAATAGGAGTCAGATTATTCAACCTTCGTACGAATACACCGCATCCATTACCTCACTGATCTAACAAATAGCTACCAAAATAGCTAACTATGGGGTCAAGGGGGCCCAAGCAAATGCTTGCCCAGTGTACAATCAATATTAAATTAATATCTTATGAAGTTACAGTACCATATGAGACACAACCATTTCAACTTTTAAAAAGTTTACTAGTTCAAATTACCCTATAAAGTCCTACACTGTCTTAAAGTAGACACCCCAGGTTATCTAAAATGCTATATTTTAGATCTTGTGGAGCCCTTCTATACTAGCTTTATCAAGTGGAGTTGTAATAGGTATTTTGTTTCTGCCTTTTCCACACTCATTTATCATACATGTATCTGTTGTACAGGCGTATGCAGATTGGCACCCGCCTGATTTTCTGTCTTCCATGGCTGCGACCCTTCGACGATGTTGATCGTGCATGATGGTTTGGTTACCATGAACACCTCCTTTTTGTCTTTATGTTTCACTGCCAGACGTTCTGCTTGACAGTATATACGGAATAAACTGTTTGTATCCCAGTCATCTCTTGTACTTCATTGGGGACTCATGAATACAGATATTGTTTAGGGGGATAGTATGACTTGCAAATTTTGATTGAATGGGGAAATTAGGGGACAAATTTTAAACAAGTTTTCATACTGTATATGACGTTTCTGCAGAAACTTAGTGTTGTCATCATAGTGCCTAAATTACAGTATCATTTCATAATGGGCTACTTCAACAAGATTTGTTTGACCAATATAACTGTATAACTGGCTTCTTTATTATATACATTAGTATTGTGAGTACTCAGAATTGTTTTACTTTAGGTAAATTGGTGGGGTACCCCATCACTTTTTTGGCAATGCGCTATGCAAGGTTCTGGGTAATATTCTGCTTAAATATTAGTCTTGGTGACAATCTCCCCTAAAATATCAAGGGTAAAATCATAAGAGGGACTCTAATGATTGAGTCATGGGCAGTGCTAGGAGAGTCCGTTATTTCTGTTGTGGGTCCTGAATAATCATGTAAATAACTGCAGTCAGCCTCCTCTGCCTTAACCTTTCCAAGCGTTGTTAACAACTTAACCCTTTAAGGACACATGACATGTGTGACTTGTCATGATTCCCTTTTATTCCAGAAGTTTGGTCCTTAAGGGGATAAACAAGATAAAACAAAGCAAAAAAACAACAACTTTTAAACCCCAACACAAAATGAATAAAAGTTATCCCCTAAGAGTTCCAAAAATAAAAATAAAATAACTTCCGAGGGTAAAACAATAAAATAAATAAAAAGACATTATATATATATATATATATATATATATATATATGCAAAAATAATGGGGGTTTAGTTACAGTATATGACCATAGATTGCATAAGCCTGCCACAACGTCAATGTACCCCATCTTTGGCAGGTCCTACTCTAACAGCCTAATATCTGCTCTTCTGAGATTAACCCATTTACTTGGGGGAAAATTCCATCTGGGGCTCTCTGCAGTACATAGAATGTGACAGCGGATAAGAACGATTCGGCCCATCTAGTCTGCCTAATTTTCTAAATACTTTCATTAGTCCCAGGCCTACTCTTATAGCTAGGATAGCCTTATGCCTCTCCCACGCATGCTTAAACTCCTTTACTGTGTTAACCTCTACCACTTCAGCTGGAAGGCTATTCCATACATCCACTACCCTCTCAGTAAAGTAATACTTTGTGATATTATTTTTGAACCTTTGCCCCTCTAATTTAAGACGATGTCCTCTTGTTGTGGTAGTTTTTCTTCCTTTACATATAGTCTCCTCCTGTACGGTGTTAATTCCCTTTATGTATTTAATGTTTCTATCATATTCCCCTTGTCTTGTTTTTTCTCCAAGCTATACATGTTAAGATCCTTTAATCTTTCTTGTAAGGTTTTTCCTGCAATCCATGAACCAGTTTAGTAGCCCTTCTCTAAACTCTCTCTTATGTACAAGGTTAAATAGGGCCCTGGAATGAGACAACTTCATCTCATTAAGTTGCCTGGGTGTAGTGTCCCTGTCGCCTTTAGTTCTGCAATGCAAAACAGTCGTTTTAAAGAAACTGCAAATTTTACATTACAGTGCTCAAACGGCTTCTAATAGCTGTGTACCAGACAGTGACTAGAGGCACTTCCTGCAGTTTCACCAGTTGGACTCTGTGAAACGATGGTGGACGTCCCCACGGTTTGCACGAGGGCATCCAATGTCTTCAAAACCCCAGAGGAAATCATTGAGGCAAGGCTTTCCTATTGGGAAGGCCTAGTGCGCATGAGGTGCTCATTGCGCATGCGGGTTAGGCCCCTCTCATTGGCTGACACTGGCAGGAGGAGGAGTACGACCCAGCACTCAGGGACATCAGCGCTGGAAACAGGCAAGTAAAAAAAAAGGGGGGGGACGGGACACTAATGTTAGGAACACATCTTTATATTCCTAACCCTGAAGTGTTCCTTTAAAGAAGGACTCTAGGGGTGCGGAGCCTAGCAGCCAAGCCGAACCGCCACACATCAGAGGAGCTCCTCACAAAAACGACTGAATTAAGCTCAAAAAGCCACAATAAACCCTAAAATTGCCTACCCTTCAGCCCACAGGAAAAGGGTTTACCAGAGAGGAAGTGCTTCAGCGAGTCCACGGTGGACAACAAACGACATACCAGGGATTGACCTGAGGCCCATAAGCCAGGTCCAGCACTACACAACATGGCGGACGCCACGTGCCAGCCAAAACACAGAGCCTCATTGCCGCCGCTCTTGGAGTGGCTGGACCGCCTGCTGGCCGACTTTTGGGCTCTCTACAACAGCACCACCACCGGCAATCTCACGGACCGTCGGGCCAAGACCAGCGGCTCCAGGAGAGGGCGCAACTACAGCCTGAAAGGCTGGGAGGAGAAGGCGGGAGACTAGACACAAGCCATGGTGGGTCAACAACAGACTCCCAGCGGTGCGTTACCCACCTGACAAGCAGCGAGCTCCGGGTCTGCCCGCCTGAACCCCCCTCTCCCTCATGGGGACCATCAACCCTCCCGGGCGAAGACATCCCGTCAGACACCCCCAGACACGACTCAGCCCAACACCTCTGCTTGATAGAGATGGGAAGCCAGGGGGGACCTTACCAAATCGCCTCGACCGCAGACCCCAGCCACCACCAGCTCCACAACCCCAGCCGGAGACAACAAGCCCAAAGCAGGCTCACCACAGGTCAGGGGACTTTTGCCACCTTACCCTCAGACCACATCCCAGCTGGGAACTGGAAGAACATCGACTGGTGCGAGCCCCATCGAGCACTACTTGGGGCACCAAACCTAAAGCTGATGGGGAATCAGTTAAACCGCCCGACCTGGACTTGGCATCACCTAATAAGAACGCTACACATTAGGCTCACCACGATGTGTACACTTAAATGAGGCCTGCACCTGAGCTAGCCATCTTACTAGCAAGCAACATATTTTGAATAATCGCTAGAAATAGCTTAATCATCAACATGCAGAAACTCATAAGCAACTACCAGAACACCTTTCACTAGCATAATCTGCAATAGGAACACCTTACTCTATAGCACTAAACATATATTACTCTGCTATGTTTAATCTTGTAATTTACCTTCTATATGCAGCAACATAGAACATAAGCAATGTTATTATATATAAAACTGTGCAGTATCCACTAATGTCTAACTACTGTCAAGCTATGTCGAAAAATGCTTATCCTAGCTGTTGTGGCATTGTAAGCTAGATTTGATTTATCTATGCACAAATAAAATAAAGAGTAAAAAAAAAAAAAAAAAGGACTCTTAGCATTGCATATGGTGTAAGAATTCCTCTGACGTTGTTCTAGCGTAGGTGTTATAACAGTTTTTGTATGGTAACACTTAGCTGGGTCCCATGGCTCACACACCCACTACAGATATTACTAAAGTAGAAATATTTAGTTATTAAATTTTCCCATCTTAAAAAGGAATTTATTAGCCGAGTGTTTCAGCTAACGTTCTTTGCCAATGAGTTCCATGCAAATAGAGACAAACTTGATATAAAGTGGAAGTTCTTCTTCCACAGTAGATCAATCAGAGGAGAGACGTCCGGATGACCCAGGTGACTGTCAAACGATTTAACCTAAGATGGTGCTTAAAGTAATCTTTTAAGGCTTTAACACGTATTGTTGTGCTTGTCATGTATTTTGACAACAGATTAGTGTAAAATCAACAATGTAAATAATTGAAAACAACATTTATTCAAAAGCATATATGATGCATAAAGAATTATAAGGAGCATACATCTATAAAAATACTTTATCATATTAGATACCAAAAGCAATACCTATATAAAGCAAAACACAAATCATGTTAACAGCTTAGCAATAGGGATTCTCAAAGTATCTTCGCCATCTAGGAGAACTTTACACAAATCAACAAACTATAAAAAGTATGCTGTTTTTAAAGTGCCTTTGTTAGCAAATATCAGCAATGATACACTCATCAACACTTGAAAATAAAAAAGCCTTTACAAATGTAACTTAAAAAAAAAAAAAAATAAGTTAGTCTGCTACAAATTATTTTTATTTTAACTAAAAAAATCTAGCTTCAATGGCACCTATACATAGTATAAATGTATGTGAAGCTATATTTCATATACAAAAGCACTTTGCATACCTTGGTATATCCCTGAATGGAGCCTGGACATATGGCTCAAAATAAATAAATTTAAAAATATAAAATTACTGCTGGTGACGCTTTAAAAAAAAAAAAAAAATTTATTCAGACTTTACCCTCTTGTTCTTCCACCTTAACATCATTGGGGAGTATGCAGTCAGGGTGCAAATTAGCAAGAAATAACAAATAGAACAAACATTTCAAAATGTAACTTTGCAAAGCCGGCTTAGTAGCAATATGATATAAATATTTAAAGCACTCTAGTGGTTATGGTGCTTCGGGTATTCCGTTAAATACAGAACTTACACAGAGGGCTATGAGGCAGCATTCAGAATTTTGCAATATCAGCATTGCCACTAGAAACAAATTACAACATTTATTTGAGATGGCACAATTCTTTAATCACCAAACAATGCTCAAATGTGCCTAATAATACTGGAACTTGTATGAAGCTACTTAAACATAAGTGATATAACAGTGATTATATTTACTTAATAAAAAAGACGCAGTTAGTGACATACAAAAATTTGTGAGATGAAAGGATAAAAAAAAAAAAATTCAAGCACCAGAGCCTCTACAGTTCACTGTAATGGTTATGGTGCCAGGAGTGCCCTGGAGAACTCCTAGCGTAAGTAGTCAAACAGTTTAAGAACCGTTACATACCAGACCCCTCTGCCCCCAATGCCCGCATTACATAGGGCAAAATAACCTAGATGTCCCCCTAAGCTATGCATACTCTGATACAGGGCTGAACTAAGTGGATTAGTGAGAATGCCAGGAAAAATGCCAATGGCCAAGTGGTGAAATTAATATTAATCGTAAGGGAATATGATTTAGCATGATTTCTGTGAAAAAAAATAAAAGGACACTGGAGCTTTGATATCGCTTATCCACTTTCATTAAATGACTTTTGTGTTTGCAGATTAACATGTATCAGCATGACACTGCCCTCTATTTCCAGATTACTTGCTGGATTTTGTAGAGTTAGACATACATTTGAAGCCAGATAGCCAGCCAACTCCAGTGTTTTTGGCTGACAAAGGTTCTGAGAAATGATTTTACACCCATGGTCTATTATAATGTTCTCTGAGGTGGCATGCCTTCTGCAATGGTTCAAATATGATGCTTAAACCTCTGGTAGAACTTAAAGACTTGCGTGAACATTTGGGAAGAACATCTAAATTACATGCTTAAAAAACATACCACCCAAAAAAAATTACACAATGATATATCTCAAAAACAAAGAATTAGAAACTTAATGAGCTGTAGTATTACATAAAATAAGCATACTGGGAGACATATTTGGCACAACAAACTTCTGCCACTAGACCAAGTACATACAACATTGAGTGTCTGCTCTGAAACCAGAAACCTCTTTAACATAAAAATTACTCTGTGCTATTGTGCAACTCAATCTTGTGAATAAGCAGCCCGAACGAGAAGTTCATAAAATGTGGTGAGCCCCTAACCAATCTGCTTTCTAGCTGATACAGTCTGATGTTCTTGCATGTTTTGGCTTTTTAAAGACAGTTTTTTAAAATTTAATAAGCAACTTCATAACAGTTCCCGCCACATTAAATAGAAGCATGTACAATTAACAGATTCCCACTGGTATGTGTGAGAGATACTTGTAATTTATAGTTCTATGTTATTCTAATCGGGCTAGATTTACCCTCCTTGCTACCCCAAGGCCAGTATCCCATGCACCCTCAATTTACAGTGAGGAGAAAAAAAAATATTTGATGCCCTGCTGATTGTGACCGTTTGCCCACTGACAAAGAAATGGTCAGTCTATAATTTTAATGGTAGCTGTATTTTAATAATGTGAGACAGAATAACAAAAAAATAAATCCAGAAAAAGACAAGTCAAAAAAGTTATAAATTGCTTTGCATGTCAATGAGTGAAATAAGTATTTGACCCGTTATCAATCAGCAAGATTTCTGGCTCCCAGGTGTCTTTTATACAGGTAATGAGCTGAGATTAGGAGCACTCTCTTAAAGGGAGTGCTCCTAATCTCATTTTATTACCTGTATAGCAGACACGTGTCCACAGAAGCAATCAATCAGATTACAAACTCTCCACCATGGCCAAGACCAAAAAACTGTTCAAGGATGTCACGGACAAGATTGTAGACCTAGACATTGCTGGAATGGGCTTCAAGACCATCTCTAAGCATCTTGGCGAGAAGGTGGCAACAGTTGGTGCTATTATTTGCAAATGGACGAAACACAAAATAACTGTCAGTCTCCTTCAGTCTGGTGCTCCATGCAAGATCTCACCTTGTCGAGTTTCAATGATGATGAGAACGGTGAGGAATCAGCCCAGAACTACACAGCAGGATCTTGTTAATGATCTCAAGGCAGCTGGGACCATAGTCACCAAGAAAACAATTGGTAACACACTAAAAAAGGACTGAAATCCCGCAGCGCCCGCAAGGTCCCCCTGCTCAAGAAAGCACATATACAGGCCCATCTGAAGTTTGCCAATGAACATCTGAATGATTCAGAGGAGAACTGGATGAAAGTGTTGTGGTCAGAGAAGACCAAAATCGAGCTCTTTAGCATCAACTCAACTCACCATGTTTGGAGGAGGAGGAATGCTGCCTTTGACCCCAAGAACACCACCCCCACCGTCAAACATGGAGGTGGAAACATTATGCTTTGGGGGTGTTTTTCTGCTAAGGGGACAGGACAACTGCACTGCATCAAAGGGACGATGGATGGGGCCATGTACCACCAAAATCTTGGGTGAGAACCTCGTTCCCTCAGCCAGGACATTGAAAATGGGTTGTGGATGAGTATTCCAGCAGGACAATTACCCAAAACACACAGCCAAGGCAGCAAAGTACTAAGTCGAAGGGTTCAAATACTTAATTCAATCATTGACATGCAAATTAATTTATAACTTTTTTAACGTGTTTTTCTGGATTTTTTTTTTAATTCTGTCTCTCACTGTTAAAATACATCTACCATTAAAATTATAGACTGATCAATTCTTTGTCAGTGGGCAAACGTTAAAAATCAGCAGGGGATCGAATACTTTTTTCCCCTCTCTGTAGTTATATATACAGTATTTGATTGCATGCTTTTACAAAACTAGTTTCGTGTGAATGTGACTAGGTTGGTGGTTGGATGATAAGTGGAATAGAGCTGGGAGAGGGTATGTGTGGAGGCTACTTGTCGTGTTGTATGTTTGTAGGAATGCTGCTTGTGGGGTTGCCTGTCTGAGGGTCGCTGCATCTTGTATTGCATTTATGGCTGTATTGGGGGAATATGGCTTTGGTGTGGGTTAGTGTTATAGTGGGAATATAGGGGCTGTAGTGGGAGAATTATGGCTATAGCTGGTAAATAAAAGCCCCACAGTGATGGTAGGGATTATGGTGGGGTGGATAGTGGCTATGGTAGGGGGATGGGGTAGTTGATATGGTAGGGGGGTTAGTGGCTATAGTGGAGAGGATAGTAGCTATCGTGGACGGATAGGGCTTATAGCATAAGAACTGGAGCTGTAGTGGGAGGTTAAGGACTACAATGATATAATGGGGGCTATGCTGGGGTGACACTGAAACCCAAGGAAGCCATCCACACTGCTAGATATACACAGAAATGCAGAATAAGTGACAAGAGCTAGAGAGAGGTGAGAGGGGCTGTGGTGGGGTCACAGAGATGGTCATGGGAGGATAGGAACTATTGTGGGGAGGACAGTGGCTGTAGTGGGTGACAGGGCTATAATGGGGTGACACAGGCTGTGGGGGTATAAGGGCTGCAGTGGGGGAACAGGAAGCCGTACAAAAGTGTATTCCCTCTTCCAGAGGCTTACCTTGGCGCCAGGGAAGGGGAAATCTGATTCTTTGGTAGTCAGGTGGGAGATGCAGCATGTCTGTATCCCCAGTGGGGTGCGGACAGCTCCTTCTGGCTGGCACCAGGAAATGTATGAGAGCATTGTTGCGGTAACCTCAGTGGAGCTAAAATCTGTGTTTTTTGCAAGCTGTTTTTAGATATACCCACAAATTAAAAATGCATAATTTAATGCATGCATGTTTTCATTGGAGGCATATCTACTACATTGTGATTCATTTTTTAAATTTGGACAACGGAGTGTACCTCTAAATGAAATGGGCCAGCATTATGTGTAACTGTTAAAGTTGCCATCTATCTAGCATATTACCGCCATATTGGTTAAAAGGGAATTTAAAGCCAAAAGTATGCCTACGTAAACAATTTATTCCCTTAGTTTCCAGAAATGTGACAATTCTGGCCATGACAAGAAATTTTTAGCCACAACTGTTGTATGGCCACGAACGGTTTAATAAATACCAACTTTAAAAGCAGTTGTTCTCAAACAGTGGTCTACGGACCCTCATTGTTACTCTGAACAAAATAAGTGTTTATGGAAAGACGGGAGATGTGAAAGAGGTAGATAGTTGAAAAAAACAAGTTCTTCACTCTTTGTAAACTTTGTTTTACATCAAGTTTTCATATATGTTTTGGCTTTTGTTTAAGACTTCAAATGACATGGTGGAAAGACGTAAAACAACTGAGAACCAGCTTATTAAAGTACATGCCGCAGTCCCATCTAATTCTAAGTATATACATATACATTCTGGGCTGGAATGGTGAATTAGCTGCCCTAAAATTACGGCTTCTCAACATGTAAGCACAGAGTTCAATAAACCATGTTCCTTCACGTTTTTCGTGTGTGATTGCTATGGAAAATATCCACTGACGTTTCATAACAAGGTCTCAAATCGTAGTCGCAATAACCAATAGAAAATCGACCCTTAAAAGAGAAGAAAAGTGCATTATTAATTTCTCTCATCACAAGTCCATGTGAGTGATGATACAGTACTTACGCTAGCCAACTTGAAAACAGCTATAATGCATGAAACACTAGTAGAAATAAGACATGTAATGCCATTTTATCAGTAAATCAGTGAACATTTTAACAAAAAGAGACGCTCTTAATTATTAAAGTCTAATTCCTGAATATCTTATACATTATAAGTCAATCACTAACTTTTTTCTTACAATGCAATAAAAAAAAATTGATTGTATCTAAATATTTAGATTCACTTTTTTTCACACACTTTTTCAATGAATTTGGTACTATAATTTTGTACATTGGTAAACAATCAGGCCAGATATATCAAGTATAAATCCGCTTCACATAGAGAAGGTTTGACACAGTAGTGAACCTTCCCTGCAGTTGCTTTCTTACCTATATATGTAATAAATCACTGGTTAAAGTGATAAGATATACCAGGAGCTAGTATATTAGTAACAATAAGTGCAAATGATACAAATTGTATAAAACAGATACTTCATCCAAAATAGATCCAAATGTGCAAGTTCATAAAAACTGAAATCAGATGAAATAAGTCCTCATAATAGTCCACATATGTAGCAAAGGGGGAATTCACACACTATTGTGTATATAGAAAATACACAGCTGTGGGACCCTATTGCAAAAATAATATTATTTACTGGAAAATAAGTAAATAGAAATAAAAAGTAAATAAACATAAAATAAATAGAAAAACAAAAAAGCAATACAGTACCTTGGACAACTGTATGCTAAAGGATGAAAAAAGTAATACTAGATAAGTAGTGAAAAAAGGAGGGAAAATGCTTCTATATAGACAGTTTCAAGTCCTTAATAGAATTCAAATCTGTAGATCAAATACAAATAGTAAAAAACAATAAATAAAAGTACCAACAGTGTGCTCCAACACTCTTAAAGCTGTCTCTTGCAATAGGTCTCCTGATGGCTGAGTTTTGTGGGAGCTGCAGTCTTTGCTGAAGGATACCTAGCAAGTGAATTCAGCGTGCGGTTCAGTGTCATTATTTTTTATATAGACAGTAGTGTGTGAATTCCCCCTTTGCTACATATGTGGACTATTATGAGGACTTATTTCATCTGATTTCAGTTTTTATGAACTTGCACATTTGGATCTATATCATAGATCCTTTATATGAACTATTTGCCATCTTTTAGGGGATCAGCAACTAAGTATTTCTTTATTTTGGATGAAGTATCTGTTTTATACAATTTGTATCATTTGCACTTATTGTTACTAATATACTAGCTCCTGGTATATCTTATCACTTTAACCAGTGATTTATTACATGTTTTTTCCTAGAGAGGATTCGTGACCTCTTTTTTTTTTACCAGTTATTGAGCTAGTTATTTTTTTTGTATTCATCTTAATTAATTTCTCTTCTTTTACTCCCTCGACCCCTGGTACTGGTTTATTCAATTGCTATTTTAAGCTACTGGTTTATTGTGCTTTTCATTCTATTGATACACTGTGTTCCTTATATTTTTATTACTTGTATACCAATATATCTGCCTCCTTAGGAGTTTGTGTGTTGTGTTTGTGTGTGGGCTGTTCGTATTATTTGTATGAGGGGAGGGTTATTCTGCATTTCTGTGTATATCTAGCAGTGTGGATGGCTTCCTTGGGTTTCAGTGGGGACCAGGCTGGCCAGGAAAAATATTAGCAGATATCTGAAATTTCACTGGGACTCCTGATAGGCCAAAGCCTGTTTGGCTCTGGCAGCCTTGAGTGCCGTGCATGGCACATGTGCCATAGGTTGCCTACCCCTGGTGTAACATATACTAATTTCATCTTTGCCTTCCAAAGAATTACCTTGTACATTTGTGTTTGGGTGGAATGAACACAGCTGTTGGAGTCGGTCCTCTAAAAGCTGGCCTCAGTTGACACTGAGGCTGGCTTTGGAGTTTGAGCGTTCGGTATTGTTCTGTGTATTGGTTCCATCTCTCCCATGCTTCGAAATTTGGAGGGCGGAAGTGCCTTTCGCGCCATGATTTCATAGTGTTTTGTTATATTAATTTGGTCAATACATTCTTGGGTGTTAGGGGGGGGGGTTTGTAGCCAGTGTCGGCTAATGGTCAGTGCTGCTATTATTATATGGTATATTATATATAGTTGATATTTAGAGTTCTTTTCAGGAACTAGCGGCAAACTTAACACTGCAATGTAAACATTGCAGTTTATTTGAAACTGCTCAATTTTAGATTGCAGGGTTAATTGGTCAGGGACACTGCACCCAGCCCACTTCAATGAGCTGAAGTGGTCTTGGTTCCCTTATTGTCCCTTTAATAATATTAATGAGAACAACCAAAATGCAGGGATCTACAGGACTCTGTCACCTTTATAAAACTATGCAACTAGGCAATGTTGATAGGGTCAAATACTTATTAAAAAAGCACTATGTGCGTTATAGCCTGTATAGCATAATATCTTTATCATTGCTTGTAGTAATGTCTTATAACTTGTATATTGTAGCTGATAATGGTGTAAGCCAATATTGTAGCAAAGTGTGGAGATGCTGATAACAAATACAAGAAATAGGACTGCACTGTAAGCAAATACATTTTAAGTATTTAATTTAATCCATGAGCACACTCACCTGAGGCTTCTTAAAATAGTCAAGTCCTCTTCCAATCTTAATCAACCAACCATTGTTGAACCTGCAGTTGTGAATGTTATACATCATTAATATATATTAAGTTGGAATCCTTAGGCAAAGTTTAATTAACACTAGTCTGCATGTTAAAGGCAGACATATGATTTATACCTACCTAATTTCTCGATCGTGGATGGACGAAGAGAAAGTGACATCCAGTGTTACACCATAATCCAGCAGGGAATTCTTGATCTCTTGCAAGCCACTGCGCTGCTGATCTTTACCATTTTCCTGATCCAATACATAGTAGCTTAAGGTTACACTTTATGGTTTGATAAAGAGTCATTATTGTTAGAATATATATGGCTGTGCTAAAACGATTATTTTCCTGCAAACTATACTTATTGATCATTTGAAAACAGAATGTTCGGGTATATTAAGAAGAGTCTCTATTATAAACTGCCCATTAACAACAAATCATAATTTGCTATATTACTTCTAATTCATAGTGAATATTTACTTACTCAAAAGAAGACAAAGTCTTATTAAATAATTGTCTAATGTACATTCCGAAAAAAACTAATGAAATCTAGATAATGCTTACCTCATCTCTGGAAGTTAGTAGGTTAATTTGTTTGACTTTTGAAGGCCCTTTGATAAGCATTTCGCAGAAACGTAAAAAGTTATACAGCTGAAAATACAGAAATAGATGCACAGGCAATAGTGAGGGATAAAACAAATGCACCTAGAAAATGCAAAATGCCTTCCAAACTATATACCTACCTGGTGCACATATCGGATGTAAGGATCTTCTACCCACACTTCTGTGAGCATTTCATTTATGTATGGCTTGAATAAATTTTCATAGCTATAGCCTGTTGAATTTTCTAAAATCTTGATTTGCTTATGATATTTTCCTTCTGTAAAAAAACAGACAAAAAAAATTTAAAAATTAGAATGTACTGATATATATGGCATTGGAATTGCTTTAGAATGATCCCCTTCACATATGTATATACACATGAAACACCAAGCCCCATTATTAAATTAGACTGTAAGTAATATTTAGAAAGAGTAGTTCTGAGCCAGAGTTTCATTCTAATGATTCCCCTGGTGATAATTACAGATTGA